TCAAATTGAGTCGAGTTTAAAATTTATATAACTCGAATTAAATCAAATCGAAAAATTTTATAAAATAAATTTGACTCAACTCGACTTGAAAAAAATGAGTCGAATAGAGTTGGTCTTTAAACTGGACTCGACTCGATTCATTCAGAACTCTATTCTATTCTATAGCTGTCATATCTAAATTATTCTTAGGTATATTCGTTTCACCTTAGAAAACTCTTTCACTAAAATAATTTCTTTGATGAGTTAAAGCTCTACGACGAGTAACAGAAGACTTTTTTTTTTATTTGTTCAAATCATAATAAAAGTTAAAATTTTGCAATAATTTTAGGAGAAAAGAAAAAAATTTTGAGGAAAATAGAGGGAATTCTTGGATAAATATTTATAATCAAAAGAAGTGGCTATGAAAAATTCATAAGATCATGAGAATTATTTTCTTGTAGAAAAATAAACAAAAATCTATTAGATCACATTGGATGATGATCATTGCATAGAAATCTATGGAATAAAAACCTGTTTAAAATTGGTATAATTGATCAACATTACCAAATTAGATGATCATGCAATATTTGCATAGCACATTTTTGATTAACATTTCTTTATTTAATACAAAATTCAGAAAATTTTCGTAAACTGCATAATTTTAAGAGTTTGACAAAATGCATGTATAAGATTAAGGAATATGAAAATGTTAGTTTTTTTGAAAAGGAAATTACTTGCAATATTTACGTAGGTTATGCATTAAGAAAAGTTAAACGACATAATTAGTTGATCAAAAGTTAATTTAGATTTGTATTTAATAATTTTCTCGTGATAGATTTCTTAAATATTAGATTTCAATGAGCTTTACTGATATAGAAAAAGATTAGTTTATCATATTTGAAGATCAAATTGATATTATCAAGCTACATAGTATATATATATTTATTTATAAATAAAATGATCGACAAAATGTATAATTTCAGCCACAACTACCAATATAATCTAGAGAACCATCAGCGAAGAAAAATTCTAAGAAAAGTTTAAGTAAAAATAGATATTCCAACTATCACCCAGATTACCCAACTGAAGTCAACACCCAACCTTCCCACAAATCTTTATAAAATAACCACTGCTTCAAAAATACCTCTTTTTGATGAAAGTTTCAGTTTCTAGCATATTTATTTTTTTGTCTTAACGGTTTTTCATGAGTATTTTGATCTGCTACAAAATATGCCAGCCTATTAGCCATAAGCAGTCTTTTTCTTTCTTCTTCTTGCATTTGAGTTTGCAAGGTTGAAGCTGTTTACAAACTTTATTTTTTTGTTATAAACGAAAAGTTTTTATACATTTAACTTTCTTTTAAATATCATTTGAGAGTGATTATTAGATGGCATTTTATTTGAAAATATTATTTGAAGATTTGAAAATTTTTGGAAGAAGAATTGAATTTTAAAAGATCAGATCAGCATACATTTAAAATATTATTTTAACGAAAATTTAGTCACTTGATTTAAAATTGAATAATCACTTAAAATTGGCTATTTATATAGAATGTTAGATCCCATAATTCTAAAAATTAACAAATTTTAGCCCTATATAAGTTAAGAGAAACCTATGATTGTAAGGTCGATTGTGAATAGCATGAATATGACATGCTCCCCTTTGATAGATTACGCGTGAATACGACGTGCATTCTGCAAAATTTTTAGAATAATTATTTATTTTTTTTATTTTATCTTGACGGAGCTCAAATCAAAGAAGAGAAAAATGTGACAGGTAAAATTTTAGATAGATTTAATTGGTACAATATGAAGTCCATTTTATTGCCATTGATCGATTATGCAAATCCTTAGATATTAATTTTATTGCTCTTGATAATCACATAAATCATAGATGTCTATTTAGTTGTCTGTAGATCTGGCAATTTTATTGACATAGCAACTTTATTTCTTGCAGATCTGTCAATTTAATTTCCTTTGAATATTTTTAGTTTAGTTTATTTAATTATTTAATATGTATAAATATCTTTGTATTTTTATTAAGTCTCATTACCTTTCTGGCAAAGGTAACTGATGAAATGTTAATCTTTTAGGTACTGAATTATATATTATATTAATAAAGGAGTATAATTAATCAAGTATAAAACTTATCCTTCACAAACTCTTTAAAACTGTTATAATTATCTATGATCCTTTGCATTCATGCAATCCCTTTAATTATTATTAGTGAACTTATTATATAATATTGTATTGATTCGCTGTATTAACTTAGAGTCTCTGAAGCGTAATCTCTAAAATATCTTTAAGTTATCTTTGTATTTATTTTGTGTTTATCTCATGTGCTTTATATTGAGAATAATTCTTTGATATTACTGTGAATTCTTACCTGTGATTCTTTGAGTAATTATCTTAGTTTTATTTACCTTTTGAGATTCTATTTGAAGTTATAAAACTATCGTAATATCATGAATTAGTCTTTTTCAAATACCAACCATTCTTTTCTGCAATGTACAAATATATATTTGGGAACAAAATCTGCTTGCTTAGAAGTCAAAGCTATAGTGTATAAATTTATTATTAAAACTTTTACGTAGTATATAGCAGAAAATTGCGTTAATAGTTAAAGTAAAATTTGGTTATGTATGTAAAGATGCAAAATATATTATATTCAAGGATTTATTAGATAATATAATTCTGCTAGTTCTTGATATTTATGCTTTATTTTTTGTACTGGCGATTTAACTCTTACATTAAATCATATTTTCAGGTTTGGATTATTTTTCTTAAATTTAATCGTAAAAACTATACTAAAGCATCTTTAATGTTTTTATCAGATATTTTTTACTGGCAATCGAAAAATCACTCAATTTTGAAAACAATAAAAGTAGAATTACCAAAATTCTCTGATTCTCCTGTTAAAACCTTTCACAGTCTTTTGTGACATAATACAGAAAAATATCTTACAGTAAGTCAAATAATAAAGAAAATATAATATATTAATTATTTGTGATTGAATGATGATAGATTCAAAGAAAATTTTGTTCACATCTCAACTTGGACAGTATACCAATATTCTTCACGGGATATTGCAACATTAACACAAAAAAACTGCATACTTTCTTTTAGATTATTTTTTAGATATTTATACTTATATTAATCATGAAAAAATGCAATTTTTAATTCTGTTACAGGTTACTATGAAAGGCTCATCAAAAAAGAGAAAAACTGATGCCAAAATCAGTTTTTTTATTCTAACAATAAAGATGGAGAATGCACAGCTTTGTCATTTATCTTTAGGATATAATTCTTCTAATAAGCCTAACTTATTTGGTTGTGATTCTTCTAATTGTTTTATTTCTAATACTACATTTAATGAAGAAACAGGTCAGATACTATCATGTGATTACGCATATCATAATATATACTTTAGCCTGAACGGATTCAAGTGTTTACATTGCTTAGATTATATAAAGTCTGATATTGATAAACATGTATAATTACTTTTAGATCATTTACAACAACCTAATTCAATTAATGAAATTGAGAATAAAGAACCCGACTTTATTCCTGAAGAAGATCATGATAATAAAAAATCCGTTGATAGTATCTCAACTTTCTGGAACATTGCAATACTACAGTTTATTCAACAATAATTAAAATTATTATATAAATATATAGTAATCATAAGTTATTTAAATATATATATTAAATATGATATATATGAACCTAAAATATAATTTTAATAAATTTTTGAAATAATATAAATGGTATATAATAAATAAAAATTATGCTTTATTTTATTTAAATTCTATTTAAATTTACATTTAATTTAATTGGTCAAATTGATAATTGGTCAGTATTGTTTATTTTGAGTCGTCAAATTAGTCAATCATGTAAACTTCTTCCTATGAGAAGGAATGGAAAAAAAATTAGAACGAATTGAAGCCTACTGAGTCAAATTTGCTAAAAAAGATACCAGAGGTGCCAAAATACCTTAGTGTTAATGCTCAAAGTCCTCACCTTTTGGAGGATTAGAAAAAAAGTTAGAATAGATCAAAGCTCTATTAGCCAAACTCACTAGAGATCCTAAATCCAGAAGTAGTTGAGTTCATATAGTTACAGCAGACGATCAGTCTAATCCCATTTTTTCTGATGATGACGCATCTAAACCTGAAGACAATGATTATAACTCTGATAATTTATCAACCTGTTCAGATTCTAAAAATCATGATATGAATATTTATATAAGTCATAGAAATGAAAAAAAAGCAAATTATGCTGAATAATGTGAATATCTTAATAAATCCTTAAAGTCTAAGGTCTCTAGTAAATCTGAGCTTCATAAGGTAAAACAAGACAATAATTTATCTTTTACTCGTAATGCCTCATCAAATAAAGATAGTCATAATAAACATGTATCTTTAGAAGAAACTATTTGCAAAATCATTTAGATCAAATTTAAAAATTATCTTCTATATATAATTCAGCAAGCAAAAAAGTGTGTACTTATCTTAGCTCAAAATTCAAATGAAGAAGATATTTTAGATATATCTATGGAGATAGATTTCGTCAAAAAGAAGAAGCTCACTACAAGCATTGCATCTATAAAATGCAAAATTAAGCATCTTAAAATTCTAGCTATGACACTAGACTCTTCTGCTAAACTTCTCATTATAATACCTAATATTGTTGAATGCATAGAATATAGAATTGATAAATTCATAAAATATGATCTTAGTAGTATTGCTACTGTACCAGTTGAATCTATTAGAATCGTTTACAATTTACTGATAACCTTAGCTTCTGGATTTACTATATATGAAGATTTTATAGTTGTAAAATGCTCTAAGCCAATATTAATATTTTCAAATCCTCTTCTTAAGAAATATAAATGTGCAATTGACTGAGACAAAGATAAATTAAAGATTTCTTATAATAGCAAGAATTTAATTATTCCAGTCACTATGCATAAAGTCAAGAATAAGTTTGAGGTAAATTGTGTAAACATTACTTCTAAATGTAATGTTTCCTCGATCTTAAACAAAATTTCACAGGATTTAAGTGAAAATGGTACATTAAAAAAAAAGTGAGTTATGAGAAGTTTAAAAAAATGTTATATAGCACTCTTAAGAAATCAATGAGTATTGTGAAAGATTACAGATACATTATGATGAACTTTTTAGAGAATAAGCAAGTTATTTTTCTAATATATTCTTCATATTCGCTATATTTTTTATGTTTCTTTCAGCTATCTTTTCATGTGATATGGAGATCAATTGAGTCTAGATGAGAGATAGAATTAGCTTTGCTAATATAGATTTGAACTTCGATTTCTTCCCCCAGTCTTTTCCACCTTCTCACCTTCTTTCAAAACTAAATCAATAGATTTATTAGGCTCTATCTTAGCATTATGTATTTATTTTTTCAGTTTTATAAATAGAGAAATATCTTAGTCTTAGATCTTCAGCTCAGTTCATCCATCTATAATATTTATATTAGAAAGCAAAGTGGTCTCTTCAGGATCAGCTGTTGACATATGAATTGGTTGATTTCATGCAATTCTATTTTTTTCTGCACCTCTTCAGATCTAATAAATACGTTTTTGTAATATGTAATATTTATCTGTTAAATTCTTTAAAACTTTATCTCTAGGCTTTTTTTAACACATTGCATAATATGATCATAATTAGCTGATGAAAAAAAAGGGTATTATATCTCATGCGTCGCCTAAGTATAGTAGCAATATTTTTTTTTATATCTAATATAATACTCTGAAATAATTTATTAAATAAGATATATAGAAAGTATGTATTATTCTAAATATATAAGATATATAAAATATATAGGAAGATAATATTCCAGACATATATGATATATAGAATAAACAGGATATTCAGAAAGAATATATTTATTCTGAATAAATAAATTATATTTATTATCTCAGAAATTTATTTATGCATTTTTTTTTGTAATATATAATCATGCTAATATTATGTCCAATGTGCATATATTGAATGATATAAAAGATAAAGAGGGTGGTTCTTATAAAAAGCCTGATCATCAGCTAGGTAGTGCATATGAGCAAAAGCTCAAAAAAAATAAGATCCATTGCTGAATTTAACTCTGAGATTAATGATCTTAGTGAAAAGCTAGTAGATAAATATAATGAGTAAGAAAAGGAGTATCAGTGAAGCTATAATGGTATTAAAAATAAGATTAGCTAGTTAAAATACATTAATTATTAAAGTTAGATTCCAATTTATTTCTGAATAAAAGTTTTATTCTGAGAGTTTATGTAAGCTTAAAGTTAAATATATCACTGAAATCAAATTATTCAAATCAAATATTAAAATACTAAAGAGAGAGGCAACTTTGATCCAGAAAGCTTCGTTTGCTAACAAGATTAAGATTCTCTCTCTTGAAACTAAAATACGTGAATTAGAAGGTAAGTTAGAAGACAAAGATCTAGAATGTACATATTATGATTGGGATGTAATAGGAGGAACAATAGAGGAGCTGGCTTAAGTAAATTCATCTTCAATAGATGATTCTAAAAAAATCAATTCTCTCAGGCTTGAATTAGAGTGAGCAAATGATGACCTTAATTTAAAAGAATATACAATAGAATGTATGAAAAAAGGGATAGAGACAACAGATATCATATATAAATGGGAGCTAGATGCTCAGTCCTCAGAATGATTAAAATTGATAGAAAAAAATAGATCTCTCAAAGATCAGTTAGCATTAAAAGAAGAGCCAAGAAGCGCTTTGCATAATAAAATAGATCTTTCACCCCTGCCTATAAATAATTTATCACAACATGATCCTGAAGGGATCCTTTCAACTCTTAATCCTTTATTCTAAATAATAGGTAATGCAAAAGCAATATCTTTACTAGCAACTGTTTTTATTATCACGAGCTCCTTAATGTCACTAATAATAATATATTCTATACTTACCTTATTACTAATTGCAATTATATGGATTGTGATCAGGAAAAAGTTATGAAATATATAAAAAAAAAGTGACCAATACATTTAGACTAGCGATTTACATCTCCAGGTATATCTAAGGCCAGGTTATATAATTAGAAGTTAGAAAAGGTCATCTCGTGAATTTAGGCTGATTTTAGGCTGATTTTTGCATGTCCGATTTTTTTTGATTTTGACCAGTAAGATTTATTGTAACACATTTTATCGACAAATCTATTACATTCTTTTACACATATAAAACTACTTAAAATAAATAAATGTAAATAATTTTATTATGAAAGTTCTATAATATCATTAATATGAATAAAAATAATCTAAAAAAGGATAATCTTATTTTTACGATCAATAAACTATGTACATTTAGTATATATTTGACAATTAAAGATTTTTTTTAAGTCTTTTTCTAGAAAATCCGTTTTTAAATTTATCTGATCATATTTTTTTGCAATTATCTCTATATGACGAGATTCATTAAATTTTGCAAACGTTGTTCTACATATTTTGAAATACTAGCTAAACAAAGACTATTATATGCTCTTCTTTATTTGAATGTTTTCATTACTAGTGATATTGATAATAAAGCTTGTATTTTCTTCTCTTTCATATTTTCTATATTAATAATATTATTATCATCTATTGCATTCTCAATTTCACTATTCCAATCTTCCTATTTTTCATTAGAATCATTAATTTCATGTTTCTTAGTATCAAAAAAATGATATATAGTTTTTAACCTTTAACTTAGTTATACTCATTACTTTTAGCATGACAGTTAATATAATCTTCATCCTACTTTCTTAACAGTTTAATTGTTATATCACATATACAAATAACTTTTTTTGCATGTCAAACTTTAGCAACATATAAATGTTTTTTCAAATGTTCTTTTGAATACTTCTAACTTACTATAATTTATAAAATAAACTGCTTAACATAATTTTAAAAAAATTATAATATTAAGAACATGAAAGTATGTCAAATAGTAGATTGTGACATGTAGTAAGAAGAAATATAGCCATTATATAATTGGATAATTACATAAATAACAAATTTAGGTTTTCTTTAAATATTATAATATAATCAATATAATCAGAAAAAGTTTTTTATATATATATTTATTTTGATTATCTGATCTGATTATCTTAACCAATATAAATTTTATGCATCTTCAAGCTCTTAGTTTTAATTTAGAAATAAAATACATAAATATAAATTATGAATATCATAAATAAGTCCAGTACTACTTAAAATCAATTTATAAGTTTCAAAAAATTTTTATAATAATATTTAAAGAAATTAAATAACTTATTTAAAAGATGAATCTGAGTCAAATCCTACCAGATCTTAGATTGATGATACGTTGATCGCAGCGGCGGACTGGTTGAAAAGACATAACCCTTTCCTAAGAAGCTATTCCCATCTTTTAGACTCAACCGGATCTGCTAGGGCATTGGAATTATTTACCTAAACTTTTTCGTGACCAACCCTTTTTGGATCAACAAATTTTTGACGCAGGTCAGGCGTACGTCATGCTAAGTCATTGTATGGATTGGTCAAAGATGCACATTGCCTCTTTTCACCCTTTACTAACATGTCAATGGTTGAAGAATATAGACGTTTGGAAAAAAAGGCCTCTACTCCCTTACTACTCTGAAAAAAAAGAAGATCCTTTAGAATTTTAAACCAAATCTTCAAATCCTACAAAAAACATTTGTCTAATTATTTCTAATTTTTATTTAATTTATGAATAATTTAATTTGTAAATAAAAAAAAAACAATTTATACTAAATTTCGCATTAACATATACAAACATTTATTGTAATCGATATTTTCTCCCAAAAAAAAACGTGATTTCATAAACATACGTCAATCGGCCTATCGATATCTTAGTTTGATCTTTATTGGATGAATCAAATACAAATAAAGAAATAGCAATGATTTTCGAAGGGACGAAGTCCCTTGAAATTACGCCTCGCTAGTTAATTTATAATAAATTTGATGCTATTGTAGTTGATGCAACCTATGTAACTAATAATTTTTCGTGGGAATTGCATGCAATCATGTAATTGATGGCATTGGATTTCCTCTCAGCTATCTCTTAATTTCAGCCAGAAAAAATAGAAATATAACTGAAATCCTTACATATTGGATGCAAGCTTCAAAAGAATGAAATTTAAGATGTTTTCCCTTTATTTTAACAAATAAAGACTTTCAGAAATAAATGCAGCAAAAACAGTGTGGCCTGAAGCTCGCTTACAATTATGTGTGTGGAATGAACGACGTGCTATTAAACAGCGGTTGGCATCAAATAAGAAAGGTATATATTATTCTTACAATCCCAGAATTTGCACAGAGATGCTCATTGATAGATTCTAATTGGGGAATTCGGCAATATTTTGCCCTTTAAATTTACGAAAAATAGTAATTGAACTTGTAGAATTGCATTTTTATCTAAAAATTTCAAATTGCGTTTAAGGCCAAAGAGCTGTTAGAAGAATCACGCAATAGACCAAAAGGACATTTATGGTTGAAAAACGTTTGCCCATATTTTAAATTATTGGAAAATGAACAATGACATTATGGTGCTAGAAAATAGAACGATGCCAAAAACTTAATAATAATACAATGTATTGGGAATGATAAATTCTATAATTGAAATAAAAAATATTTAGAGCATTTACATTCTTTTATATTTTTACATTTAAAATTGGATTCATAATTATAGTTATTTATTATAAATTCCATTTTCTTTTATTATATGATTTTTATCGAAATACTTTAAAAAAAAAAAAAAATGCGATTTTGTCCAGCAATCAGCAAATCAATCCGCTACCATTTTTTCCGGGTTGTTCCAAGATAGCTCAACATCATGTGATATCCACAAATCTACTGCATGAATCCGTATTTTTTGCATGTATTAATATAAAAAGATATAAGTATATAAGTTACTATGTTTGTAAAGCCAGATAAGAAAAACCAGTTCCAGAGAAATGCCTTCGAGCATGTTTGGGTTACGATCCCAAAGGTCTTTGATCAAGGGAAGGCAGAACTACTTTGAAAAATGGCATATCTTTAGGGGATGGAATCACGGATGTAAAGTTTGTGAAGAATGCGATCATCACTCACGTATATACTGCAAAAGGTGTAAAAATGTAACAGAGGGAATATATAAACGATGTGAATGTCCTCGAGTCCAATTTGATCGTGAAGAATCTTCACGGTTACACCTACCATATGACAATATGACACGCCTGTGCTAACTAATATTGTAAATTTCTTGAATATGGAATATAATTTCATAGCAGTAAATGTGAATTGATAAAATTACATTGCTTATTTTTTTTTCACATTATTTCTAATCTCCCGAATTTACGCTTTAGATAATTCATGTTGGTGAAATTGATTTAGATTGGCGAAATTCCGTGGATATAGTTTATTTCTTGTTTGTAGAAAAGGATGTGGGAATAGCAATAGTGATAGGAAAGAAACAATTAGTATAGAAATTTACCAAAATTTAAAAGAGCAAAGAAATAATTTGAAGCTACTGATTATTCGACTCGCATACATAATAATATAGAGAAAATGGTATTTGGCATTTTATTTTTTCAAGAGAATGAATGTTCAATGAATAACACAATAACCCTTGGAACTGACATGGGGGAGACGTAAGATTACAGTTTAATAAAAGAACCGCTGGTCACGTAGTCCCTTTGTCAAACGCACTGACAAGAGAATTCTATTAACTAGAACTGTGTCTTGGAAGTACGGTCCAGGTTGTCATTAGTAAAAGGATGAACGAGGATAATAATTATTATGTGCTCGCTTGATCCTTTACTAAACACTTTCACTTGAGATTCCTTCTCTTTTAGAAAAGTTGGTCACGGTCAAATGATGACAACAACAGGTCTGAAAGTACCATTAAATCTACAAAGCAATTACTTCAAAAGTTTAACCAATTATATGCTTCATATTCAGCCACATCGGTGACGCGGTTCAAGATTATTATGTCGCGTATGACGTAAAAATTTTTATTTGTATCATTGTAATCATTGTATGTTCTTATGTTCTTCTTTATATCATATGTCAAATATGGACGATAATTACCGAGAAACGATGGTCAAATCTTTGATAATTACATACTGGAATCGCAAAAATGTTTCGAAAAGCGTCGGCCTATACGATTGTCTCAAGCAAACGCACAATAAATTTAAACTGAAGTTTAAAGACAAACCAGCGTTCAATAGATTCTACAAAGAACGAATTAACTTTATAGCTCAATTGCCTTCTGTCAATGTACATCTAAAAAATAAAGCAAAATCAGAGCAAAATGACTTCAGAGTAGGTGTATAATTTAAAGCCCTCACTTGCAATAAATTTGTCTGTACATAATAATTGCTATAATAAAATAGTACTGAATGTTAGTTATTTTTGCTTAAATTCTTATTTTTAATTATAGTTAAATTCAACTTCTGATAAAGTCAATGACTTTTGGGAAGAGATAGAAAGAATAGACAAGGAGAATAAAGTCCGAAAAGAATATAGATCTTCGATAGATCAACATTTGCGAGAAGAAAAAAAATATTTAAGTACAGTTCACCTCAAGGAACTACAGGAAGATGATGCTATAAATGAAGTTTATGACGCAGAGGAAGAAAACGTTAGTACAGGATATAAAAGTGATGAAGATGATGACCTCGACATGGCAGAAAATATTAACAATTGTTCTGAAACAAATCGAGAAAATAGTGATGATAATAAAGATTTTGGAGATTCCGTGATACCAGTTTATGCGGACACTTTTGCAGAAAGATTAGAATGCCAACCAACTTTGGGGCGTACTAGACGCTGGATCTTACCCAGCGGAACAGATGTTTCAGAGGTACTGGAGGAATATGTGAAAACGGTTCCAGGATGTCAAAAATGCCTAAAGTAAGTTTCTATCTAGACACATTCACATCATTCATTTGATTTTTCTCAATGTGAATTTCGGAATGGTTGCACTTATAGCCCCGTTTATTGGGGCATTCTAGACCTCACAGGTAATCATCCTGAGACGAAGTCTTTATTTTCGGAAAAAGACTGGTCAGATATGGTTAAAAACTTTGAAGAAGAAGTTAGACTTTCGAAAACAACTGTTTCAGATGCCGTGTATTATTTTTTTGATGAAATTGATGAGGTATTTAAAGATAAATTGTCATTTTGCATAAAATAACTTTATTTTATCATTAAATTACATGTTTACAGATCGTTAAGAAACACGAAGATCCTGTAATGGAAATCGATAAGTTCTTTCCGGAGAAGATCGAAGAGAAGTATAATATTAAATTAAGCATGGAAGAAAAAAGGCATATTATTTCCCTGAAGCATGTCGTTATCTCATAGTAAGCCAAAAAAACCAAATGTTTGTATCAGTTTATATTCTTGTATTATTTTTATGTTGACTTTCATAAATACATCTTGATTAGCATTGAAAACCTTGAAAACATAGAATTACCAATTTCGGAACAAGACTTTGACAGCTCTTTTTCTAACTTGCTTATGAAAAAGTTTCTTGATCAAAAGGAAGTTAAAATTGACGTGTAAGTTCATGAGAGAGAAAATGCTCACATTCAATTTTATTTACATATCTTTGTCCTACATTCTTCAGAGGAGAAATATGTTGCTGGGCATCTGCACAACGCCGAAACAAAGGTCGTTCAGTAGTTCTACGCGCCAGGATAGGCCAAAAATGCGACTTTAAAGCAACATTAAAGCATAGTATTGACAAATTAGAAGCCTTAATTGGCCTTCGGAGTGGAGGGCTTCCAGAGACCTATCGGAAAAAGGTTATTGAAGATAATATTGATCTGGCTGTTACTATGAGAGATATTTTGTACATGTTTTTTATTTCAAACGAAAATACTCCGGACGATAATTTACACCAAACATTTATACTTGGGATCCAATCTTGGGGTAGGCAAGCAATTCTATAAAGTGCAATAACTTCTAAGTTGAACATTCTTTTTTCATTCTTATATAAAGGGTGGACCCACGATATTTATGCTATGGATTGTAAGGCAACGAAAGTTTGCAGATTAGGGAGATTACACAGAACCAAAATGCCAAACACTTCTAGGACAGTCGCTTGTTTAGAAGACTTTTATTTCGCTATGTTGAGTGTGAAGGTAGATTAGCATGTTTATACACCTTCATTATTACCATTATGCAATTTCTCATTATTTATTAATATGTTGTTTTATTTTCAGAATACCCTTAAAGATATTTGTGAACACGCTAATAATAATGTTGCACTGGCCCAAGCTCGGGCACATCGTAATTTAAAAAGAAAAATCGATGAAGAATCTAAAGTTGGAGGCTGCTTTGGAAGTATTAAATCAACGCCGAAGAAGGTTCAGACTGAAGAGATAATTTAGTTTAAACCTTTAAAAGTATTTTTATTACTTCCTTGTGACAATATCTGAAAATAAATTTTTTAATCACGCACAAAAGTATTATTGTCAGTTGCAAATTAATAAAAACGTATGTAAGAATTATAATCGGGCTTTATTTTTAAATTTGTAGTTGTATGCGGGGTGTGTATGTGTTGGAAAAAGTGGTTGATGTGAATTGGGCTTCCGTATGAAGAAAAACGAAAAGAGGGATTATGAGTATTGGGGTTCTGTGTGAAGAAATATCTATTAGACGCACGACATTTTAATTACAATAAATAGATTTACTTTTACTTCGCATAGACCGGAGCGATGATCGTTTGATCGGAACAATTTATTTCACCACGTTCGTGCTACAAAATGGATCACACGCATTTTTGCGACGGGGAGTTTCTCACATACCCCCCCCCCCCCCGCAAAATAAAATTTTGTCCTCATATACAGCAGTTTGACCAATAACGGTTAGGAGGGAAATTCCCGAAACAAAATAGGCTTCTTAATAGTATTGGTAAATCAAAAAATAACGATTTAGATCTTTTTCCCGCGATTTCTATTTTAAATTTGTCTGATAGTAATTTTGACCGTGTCATTGCTGGAGTTTTGAGAACAGAACGAAGTTAAAAATTACTGCGCCACATTACTGCGCAATTAGTGGACACGCGTGTCCAGATTTTTTTCACATTGGGTTTTGCATTTTTTATATATAGTGTTGTAAAGCATGACGTTTATTGATCAATAAAGGTTTTAACGTTTTATCATTTTTTAGCTGCATCTGCGAAAATTGATATGCAATACTGGGTCTTCTCAAGTTCACTTAAATTTGAGTTAACCCATATGTAAGGGAAACAGTGAATAAAATTCAAGTCAAATGCTTATTGCGCAATGCGCAAAAAAATTCACATGCATTTTGCGAACAATACATACAATTTTCGCATAAATATGCTAATATTTTTATTTTATAATAAAATTCTAAATAAAAGTTGCGCAATGCGCAAATTATAATCACATATCAGTCACTGGTCATTTCCGAAATCAGGGACTAATAAATATGCAGCTTGTCGATCACTTTTTTTACTATGATTAATTAGTAAAAACTGTTTTTCATCATAATAATCTATTATTTTTATTTGTTTAGTAACTCTACTAATAAGTTTTTATTTCTTATTTTTTGATTACTTACAAAAGTTTCTACTTTTATAATAAGTCTATTTAAAAATATTTGTTTTAATAGAACTTTTAAACAATTATTAACAAGATATAATTTTAAAACCTTAGATAAACCTTATGCTAAAAGATATTATAGTAAAAATAAATCACTTCCTGATACTTTATTTTCTTGTTTAATATAGGTTTCTTATATAAGTGACTTTAATTTATTACCTAAATTTTTCTGTAATTGTTATATATTATCTAGTAAAATAATAATTAAAGAAGTTTAAGTATCTTTACCTGATATATTAAATGTTAAACAAATTATAGTTATAGTTTAATGTGATATTTAACTAATATATATATGCAATTTCTTTTTTAGGTTGAAAATAAAAAGGAGATTTTAGAAAAAAGTTTTGAAAGTTTGGGCAAGTTTCAGAGATTTCAATTTTTTAATCAGTGTTGAAACAAATTTTATCAAGTTTCAATTGCCAAAAGGTTTTGGTTTAGCCTGAAATATTAACACACTTTAAAGAACCTTTGGTTGAAAACAGATTTATAGGATCATACTAATTTTTTATTTGCTGTGATTAATTTATAAGTAGATCTTCTTAATTTTACTTATAATCTGTTTTCTCATACATATTTTTTGTATTCACTCATTTGAAATAGTAAGTCACATTCTCTTTAAATATGCGCGAACTAAATTTATTAATTTATTAATATAATATTTGATTGTTATTTTTCAATCATTATATATGCTAGATATTTATTATTAGGGTTAATATTAAAGGATTTAAGATTAGAATTAAGGTAGAATTAAAATTAGTTGAGGAGGTTAGCAAATTTGTCACATCATGTTACATCAATTTATTAAGTATTCTAGCGATTTAGAAATTTTTTTATAATAAAATGCTAATTGTCATAATTATATATCATCCTAATAAGTAAAGCTCTGAATAGTTCAGATTAATCTGAAGATTTTTCAGATCAGTTCAGTTCAGATTAATTTCAGATTGCATAAAAATCAATCTAAAAATTTTCGGTTCAATTCAGATTTTTTTCGAATTATAATTCTAATCTGAACTGAAAAAATCTGAATTAAACTGATAATTTCAGATTAATCTAAAAGTTTAGTTTGATTATATGCGAAACTCTTGAAGAATCACAAAATTTTGTGAATTCTCTAAGAGAATTGCAAAAATTTAGCAAAACTTTTAGAGAATTGCAATTTTTTGCGATTTCTCTTTGAATTTTGCAAAAAAAATTTAGAAAATCGCAATTTTTTGCGATTTCTCTTAGAATTTTGCAAAAATATTGTGAAACATTTAAAGAGTCGCAAAAAATTGCAATTTCTCTTTGAATTTTGCAAAAAAAATCGCAAAACCCTTGAAGAATCGCAATTTTTGCGATTTCTCTTAGTATTTCGCAAAAAATATTGCAAAATTCTTGGATAGTTG